AAGAGTCTTTTTCTGCCTCTGAATATTGCAAAGAGTGGCAACAGCCAGCTTGCTACTGAAGATAAATGGCCGAAAGACAGGCTCCCAGACAGAGAAGAGCCATGGGAAGAAAAGGAATCTGAAGTCCTTGATGATTTCATTGAGCTGCTGAATTAACCAAGCCTCGTTCAGTATTCCTGTTAGGTGAGATAGCACCTTTTTTTATTGTTTGAGCTAGCCAAATTAGAATGTCCATCACTCACAGGCAAGAGGGTCCTAGCTGAGGTTATCCAGGAAACGGAGTGTTCTGAATGACATTTAGGGGAGCTCAGAGACAGGAAGACCCCACTTTCACAACACACTGGAGCAGCTGGGGAGAGAGCAGCTTTTGCCTTATTTCTAGTCACGTTCAAATGGTTCCTCCTGAGTGAGCCTCCAGTTCCTCCTTCAGAGCCAATGGCTGATGTGTCATATCATATGTCACAGCCATAGCCACTGTCTCTGCAGGAAGGTCTGAGCCAGAAGTGGCTCCGCCTGAGCAGTCTGTGAAAATACTCTCCATATGAAAGAGAATGGGTTCTGAAAAACGTTGTCCATGTGGGCTGGTCACTCAATGTCCCCATGGAGCTCAGTGAGCTGGATCGGGTGTGTGTGAGTGACCCTGGGTGTGAGAACTGGACAGGCTAGCTACACTGGAAGCTGCAGTTATGGACACATCTCTCAGTCACTCCCCAACCTATGAAGGTCAGGGCTGTCATCTTTCTATCCTCTTGTAGCCCTTAGGAGTGACTCCTCAAGCTACATAAGCAATTCCCAAATTGAAGGCTCTGTGTCCAGAACTCTGGTCTGTGGGATTGTCTCCTGGTGTGAGGACTGTGGGCTGTGAGAAGGGCTATAACACATCAGCGTGGTTGGATGTTAAGCAGCCTGGGGGCAGGATGTCTGTCCTCCATGATAAAAAATGGCTGAGTGCACAGTGGGAGGGATGGAGGTTGCTATTGAGGAGAACGGAGGAAAAACCTAAAACAGATATGGTTGTGACCCATTATGGTCACATCAATGTGTCAAGGATGCTCATATTTCTATTAATTTATTCAGGGGATATGTGTGTGGGTTATTACAGGGGCCCTTGTTTAAGGATGTACTGGCTTTAAAACATAGGTATTTATTTATTTGTTTTGCAGTGCTGGGGATTAACCAGGGCCTTGAGACCAGGGCCTTGAGAATGCTAATAACATAGGTATTGAATGATTGAATCTCTCTCTCTCTCTCTCTCTCTCTCTCATACACACACACACACACACACACACACACACACACACACAATAACACTCTCTGACTCCCCAAATCTTTGCCACAGAAGAAGTTTGAGCTTTTGCTTAGAAGCCATGCTGTCAACCTAAGATAGGGTTGTCCCCAACACCTCCACTTCAGAACTTCCCTGGACTCTGGTTTTAGAAGAATATTCCTGGGCTGCATCCCAGGCCTACTAAATGAAGAGGAAAGAAATTCAAAAAAACTCCCTCAGCTGTTTCTGATGTGCACTGAAGTTTGAGTCTAACCAGCCTGATGCCCTTCTCCTTCTAAAATGAAAACCTCCCAAGAAGTTCACCCTGGACCCAAGGGGCTGTCAGATATTGGAACAAGAACCCTAGATGGCCCTGGAAAGCCATCTGGACCTTCCCTCTCCTTGCTGAGGAGGACATTGAGGCCCAGAGAAAGGGCATGGCTGGATAGAGGTCATATAGTGGAAGGGGTAGCAGAGCTGAACCTTAGATGCATGTGTTCTGAGTTAATATCGTCAAATGAAATTGATTTTCTTCCCATTTATAAGATGCACTCAGGTGACAACCAGTGACAGAAGGAAGGAAGAACAGGAACCATTTCAGGAGGCCTCCTGGAGTACAGGGTACAAATGTAACTGAGCCATAAGCCCCTCTACTGCTCTGGCAAATCTGACGCCAGGTCCAGAGCTCCTCTAGGCATGGGTTTTCTCCTCTGTCTCCATATTTTTTTTTTCATGATACTGCGCATTGTATCTAGGGGCACTCTGCCATTCGCTTCCATCCTCAGCCCTTTTTTTATTTTGAGACAGGATGCCACTAAGTTGCCCTGGCTGGCCTTGAACTTGAGATCCTCCTGCCTCAGCCTCCCAAGTCACTGGAATTACAGGCATGTACCATCATGCCCAACTCTATCTCCGTTTCTCTGCTTCCTCCTTCCTTCCTCTACTGTGTTTATGTCTCTTTATTTTTGTATCTCTGTCTCAAAATTCACTGAGGAGGACCTTGTTGACTTAGAAACCATCCAATATGGAGCACCAGAAAAGACAGCTCTCTCACCCTGGCCTCCTCAGAAGCTACTGGTCTTCCTTATATCCACCCTATTGAGAGTTGCCTCTGAATGAAGTCCAGATTCCTCACAAAACAGGAATGATCAAGATAATAAGGTCACTCTGACATTTATATGCAAAAACCCCTGTGACCTCTTTTCTCAGGAGGAAGTTACGATATGGCAGGCAACTTTCCCCACACCTGAACCAAGCACATAGGATGAGGCCGGGACCTTAGAGTGACAGGTCAGAAAGAGTATATATGGGAAGTCTTCCCTGCTTCTCCTGCTAGTCTGATGCTGGCCTGGAGTCTTGAAGGCCAAATTTAGCAAATAAATATAGAGCACATTAAATATGTTTTCAGACATATTTATTATGGCTTGTGCAATATTTGAGACATACTTATTCTGAATTTTTTTTCCATTCCTTATATTAAATCGACATTTGGCTGAGTGACTTCTATTTTAACCGGTACCTTGAGCTGGAAGAACAGGGACAAGATCTGTTTTGTTAGAGCTCTAAAAGCCGCATCATGCCTGGTAGACAGCAGGCACTCATTGAATTCTTTTTGAAATATTTATTTGTTGATGAAAGCCTCTGAAAGATCTCAAACACACTCAGGAGACACTTCATTGGGCAAACATGTCCCTAGGGGCCATCTTTGAATAAACAAATTGACTCATTCAATAAAGCCAGACTGGAGCATGCTGCAAATGTTAAGATCTATGCTAAATAAATCAAGATGCAGAGATAAACAAACTCTGGCTCTTGTCCTTGACATGGCAATTGACCAGTAAAACCAACAGATTTCAAATCACAATAGAATGTGATAAGTGCTAGACAATCAACCTCATAAGGCCAGGGACCAGATGGTTTTGTTTGCCATTACATCTCCAAAACTTGCACATGTCATTCCTCAACAAATAGTACTGGAATGTGATAATAAAAAGATAACAATATGAACAATGCATTGTGGAGCCACCGAGGTGAGATGACTGACCAAGGTGCTTGTCTTCCCTCCAGTGGGGAGATCTGGTCTCAATCATGATGCAGGAACATACCAAGAAGAAGGAGAGGCGACAGCAATTCTGAAAGAGAAGTAGCATGAACCCAGGTCTAACAGGTCACTGACTGGGGAATAACTCACAGAAGTAAGAGGTGAGGTTGGGAAGGCTGAGAAGACTGGGCTTGATCTCCTGGGTAATGGCTAGTCATTAAAGACTGTCAAGTAGGAAGCTGCATGAAATTCAGGAGATCCCCCCAGCATTAGTGTGGACGATGGATTTTGGTGGAGACAGAATGGAGGCCAGAAGAGCGGTGATGGGGGGTTTTTAGGTGTATCAGGAAATAAGCCTACAGAACTGAAATCCTGTCCTCATGGACACACTGTGACTGCCCTTATTTGTCCATGTCCTGCTCCTACGTCCCCTGAGGTACGGGAGGGAAGATTGATGGTAAGAGAGGGAATCAGGAAGGAAGGAGAGGGGAGAGGTAGCCCAAGACAAACTTCCTTCACCTCACCATCTTGCCTAAGGAGAGGACTGTCCTGCAGCAATTGGAGGACAACTGCCAGCTCCTGGGGCTCTCCTCTCCAGGAAAGGAAGGACTCTAATGAACTGGCACAGCCCAGCGCTCACTGTGGTCTATAGGCCTATGCTGCGCTCCGTGGGACCCCACATGCCCAGCCAGCATGCTCCCTGCTGAGGGCAGGACGCTCCGTCTCAGGGTTGGCAGCCCTCTCCTGCCAGGAGATGATCCAGAAACAGAGGTTTCAGAGGGTCATGAAAACTTCCAGCTACATGAGGACAGAGGAGATCTACTAACTCAGTCCCTAGGCCCAGGACCAGAACCCAAGTCCTAGGCCCAACTTCCACCTCCTCTCCAGATCCCTCCTCAGGAAACCTCCTGCTTCATCTTGCCCACTAGACTCTGGATGTGGAACTAGTCTGACCTGGTTCAAATGCACCCAAATATGTGACTTTATACAAATCACCTCACCTCCGTGAATATGAATTTCTATGCCAATAAATAACCTCCTGTCACGAATTAAATGAAATATCCCACGGGAACAAACTCTGGACAGTTTCTTGGAATTCCTGTAACAGCCTCACTCCTGAACTGTTGGGGAGATTTATCTGCACCCTAGAGGGCAATTTGACCCCTCCTTGATTCAGTCACCCAATTAATATTTTCCAGGCTCCTACTTTGTACCAGCTACTTGAAAAGTATTGGGAAAACAATGCCAGCAAAATGGGTAGAATTCCAGTCGTCATGGAAGATCCATTCTTCTGTGGGAGATGGATATTAATTGAATGATTGCATGAATAAAAGTAAAAAAAAAAAAAAAAAATACCAGTCATGAGTACCATGAAGGAGGGGAACTCGGACCCAGGAAATTATTCCATAGGCATACACGATGGAGCCTGGGGCTGGCACACCTGTGGCATGGCCCTGGCCAGGGGGAAGGCTGGGGGCCTTACTTTCCTGTTAACTAGTTTCCCAGAATCTCCAGTTCCCAAAAATAAACATATTCAGAACAGGGAACTTAGAAGGGGAAACCTGGTTTGCTCCAATCCCAAGCCAGTTTCCCCATAGTCCATTCTTACCCCCAAAATAAATAAGGCCCCTTCCAGACTGCCTCCTCACTAGAGCCTCCCCCAGGACAAACAGCTCCTGCTCCAGCTCCATCATGAAGCTCTTTTCTGTCCTGCTGCTGGCCAGCCTGGCCTCCACCTCTCTGGCCATCCTTCATGGTGAGTATAGCCTCCTTCTCATTCCCTCGGTCCCCTAGAGGTCATCGAGTTGTCATCTGGGAGAATCAGCACAAGGGAGGCCCTTTCTAAATCCTTGTAATGTGCTATGCAGAGAGATGGGGAGATGCAGAAGAGAAAGTCCACACTTGGGCTGACCAAGGGATGGAGGTAGGGAACCAAGGCATATGACCCTCGGGATCCTGCAACCCAGAAAGCTTGAGACTGGGGCCAAGGGAGATAAGCTAGGCCCAAATCAGGGTGGAATATGGGTCAACAGAGATTCAAATTGGATCTCAGCCTCTGGCAATGGTGAACTACCCAAGCAGAGTCAGTACCATCCCTGGACCTCCTTCTCTCTCTGTATGATCACACACACACACACACACACACACACACACACACACACACACATTCAATAGCTATTTAGTAGCACTTACTCTGTGTCAGACACAGCTCTAAGGACTTGGGATCCACTAACAGACTAGACAGTCCTCAATCTTCATAAGATTATATTCAAGGAGAAAGAAAATATAATAAACATTAAATAAATTACCTAGAGGGTTAGAAATGAGAAAAAAAAAAAAAAACATTAGAAAAGCAAGGGAGATTGGGAATGTTGGGGTATGGGGTTGGTTATAGAGGAATGACTCACATGTTAGCTGTCTTGAGACCCCTGGAGGCTTTAATCTCTTCTTTTTCAGAATCAGAAGATGAAATCCCTTCGAAGACTCAAGTCATCAGTGACTGTAAGTCTCACACTAGTGTCCTTTCGAATAAGATGGTGGGGGTAAAAAGTTGTTCGATAAATGACAAATTCCTCACCTGAAGAAGTGGAGTAAAGACAGTCCCTCTTGGTGTTGGTCTTAATCCTTCCTGCTGCAATAACTGGCCAAGATCTGGGGAACAGGAACCATTTGAACAGCGTTCATGCTGACTAGTCATCAGAGCCTGGAGTGGGACCACACCTCACATCCAAACGCTAGCCAGAAAAGGGCCTCAGTTCACCTAAGGCAAGGATGCCGTAGGGTCACCAGTTCCAGCCTCCTCACCCCCATAATCCCAAAACCATGCACATGGGGAGGTCTGACTTTGTAGATTATCTGTAGACATGGGTTAATCTCAAGTGATAATATCCAGAATTCACAGGAAAAAAAAAACAATATTTATGAATTCCTCCTATGAACCAGACAAATGTTAGCCGAGTTAATTTCTTTTAACTGGTTAGGTGGATTCGGTGAGAAGAGTGTAATTCCTAATCAATGTCATTCAAACTCAAATAGGTACCTCGGCGGTGCTCGTAGAATTGGCTTGGCACAGGACATCTATCCCACTTGTATGTTGGTTCAGCAACATACAAGTGGGATACACCCTGATGCCCTGAACACGTTAAGGGACGGATATGGCAATGGCTGACTGCTTCTCACCAGGAGCTCTTTCTCTGCCCCATACTCCCTCCATCTCCTTAGTCCCAGCTTCCCAGTTTGCTTCTAACAACCATCCCAGGAAAGCCTCTATCTCCAGTGAGGACCTCACCGTGGAGCCTTTCATCTTCAGTGAAGAGCTGATTTCCAAAGAGAACGTGGTGGTAAAATCCACCAGACCAATGAGTCAAAAACCTGAAATCCTTCACCCCATACTCCAAGGGGACAGTTCCAAAAGTTCCATAGAAGAGACAACAGAATTCACTCCTACTGCTGGTATGAGCCAGGGAAGAGAGGAAATGACTGGGGAGGTGTTGAGAAGAAAAGGGCAGGGGTGGGGGAGCCACTTGGATGGGAATAAAGCGGGGTTAGAAAGAGGGGGAACGAGAATGACATATAAGTGAGATCAAAAGACCCCACTGATTCCTAGTTCTGTGGAAGGTTGTTGCCAGAATGCTGGGAAGGGTTGGGAGAGAACCAGCCTGAACTTGACATTTTTCTCTCCATATTTCCCAGCAACCACCTCGGAGGGAAAACTGAACAAGTTTGGCAATAAAATGGGGAAGGATCTGAAGAAAGCAATCAAAGGAATCTTGGACTATCTGAAAAGCCTGATACCTGATGCCAATGATGTCATGAGGCCCTGAGGACAAGGACTCTGCATCCCAGGCTGGGCCATGAGAGGTGCCTACATCACCCACACTGCACTCTTCCCAACCACCATCTCGCAGCCCCTCAAATCCAGGCATTAAAGCATTCAACCCAAAAGCAGCTCTGTGGTGACTTTGTGGGAAAGGAGGCAGGAGGCCCCCACTATTCTTCCTCAACTCCCCAACCCCCTTGAGTTCAAACCTCTCATTCTCCTCTGCTTACAGACCTGTTCAAGTCTCTGCATCCCACAACATCCTTGGCAAAGCCTTGACACTGCTCGCCCTGCCCCTCCACGTCATCAGAGTGGCACCTCCCTGCAGTCTGCCCTTTCCCACCCATAGCCTACCACTATTCCCCCCCAAATCACTGACAACAACAAGTCTCACAGCTCCCTCTCAGTCCTGACTCCGCATTGTCAATGGAGGACTGGATCCCTTCTAGAAAATTCCCCTCGAAAGTTTCCAGGACACTGCACTCTCCAAACTCCCTGTTTATTTTCTAGTACATTTCCTAGTGGATTCCAGAGTCCAATGTCGTACCTTCTTGCCTTCTCTCCACCCTCCTTCCTCTCCACCCTCCTTCCTCTCCACCCTCATCTGCTAGAACTTCTCAAGGTGGATCACTTTGATTTACTCACTCCGCTAACATCCACCAGTGTCCACCATGTGCCAGACCCATCTACCTAGAATGTGCCCATCTCCCTGTGGCCCTGGGCATGCGGAACTCGTTGGGTAAAAAAGAACATGAGAGAATGAAAGTCTCTTTGTGTCTTCCAAAGGAAGAGAAGGCTGTCCGCTCAAGGGCAGGTAGGATGGCAGGAAGGAAGACACCTCTGGTCTCTGGCACCCTATTCCAAGGACACAGGAAAGGCACTCAGGATACCAATAGAGCAGCTGACCTACCACAGTGCAGGACTGGCAGTATCCTGGCCCAGGAATATCTGCAAGAAGTGTGTTCAGAGCCGAAGACAGATACAAAAATCTCCTTCCTTCCTTTGCTTTCTCCTGGTGTAGAAAGTAGCCACCTGTCCACTTTCCCTTGCTTAGTACCCACTCCCACAATGCCACCAAACCAGACGAAAATTTCTACTAAGAATTTTTCTCAAGCCATTGCTTGAGACACTGCAAAAAATTCTTGCCAAAATATCAAAGATTGTGGAGTTCAGGAAGAAACTGGAAAGAAGGTTTCCTAAGATTAAATTAGAAAAATTGAAGTGTCTTGGAGGAAAGACACTCTCCAGTTCAGACCACTACAGAAAATGACATGAGGCCCATTGCCCAGTGGCAATCAAAGTGTCCACCTAACTAATGACTAGACAGCTGTGCCAATAAGGCCCAAATGCAGGGCTTCCTATTAAAACTAGATAAGAGGCCAAAGAGTAAAGGGGCCCTCTCCTCTCTCCCGTACTCTCCCCACCCCAGCCCACTCTCTAAGTGAGCAGAGACAGAGTGGGAGGAGCCACTGCCAGGCTTTCACTCCCAAGGCCATCTCCTGTCCCCCAGGAGGGAATGAGGAAGGAATGCAAAGGTGGGCTCCCTCCAACCTGCTCCTCTGTCTGAAGGGAACATATAAAGGAGAAAGCCTCCAACATGAGCACCTGCTCTTTTCTCAATGCGGAAGGCTTAACTGATGGGCCTGTGATCAATCACAGGCGGGAATGGGAGTGGGAGGGAGAAGACCAACAGGGCACCAGGATGACCACCCATTTTGCAGACATTTGGCCATTTGTGACCAAACACGTGACCATGTGGCCCGCGGATTTATAAAGCTCTCATTATGTGGCAGGCCCTATTTCCAAGTGCTTTACACATATTTTCTCACCCAACCCTTGCAAAAGACTTTAATATTTGTTAATCACACTTCCAGGGGGGAAAAAAGTGGGGTACAAGTTCTCACCCACTCTTCTTTGTATCCTCCTGGAATCAGTGAGGTGGCCAAGCTGCCGTCGGCCCCAGAGACCTCTGGATTGGGTCCTAGTAGGACAGGAATTAACTCCAAAACTGTACCATGCCCTAGACTCTACTTCCTCTCTGCAGTCAGCTCAGTCCCATGGCTCAATACAGCTCCCTTGAGGCTTACCAAATAAGCACTGAGTGACAGCGTCAAATATCAAACACTTCAACCCCAGCAAACAATAAAATGCCCTTAATTTGAACATAAACTCCCTCCTAATTTCAAGAGGAGCAAATAATAAAACTGAAATTAAACTCTCTTTTAAACTAAAATGAAAGGAAATAAAAGTCTGACGCACACCCTCCCCGGGTACCCATTTCTTATTTTGCTCCTTATTAGCCAGAGGGACTCACTGCAAAGGAATCTAGATCTGGCCATTGGCTGCATCCTGGTCTTTTTCCCCCTGAAGTGGTAGTACTTCCTCTAGCTTCTTCAAAGTTCACTTACTCCATCCCCAAGCAGCTCAGGGATCCATCTTTTTCAAAATCAGTGTAACTAGGACACATGGGAGTCCATGGCACCAGCTCCACACCTACAAAACTTAGGAACTCAGCATATTCTCAGGTCCCAGGGAAATTCTGTGTCCATTATCTAGTGCATGGTTTTTGGTGGTGCTGGGGTGGGAGGGGGGTCAGGGAGAACCCTTTAACACAGGTTCAAGGGGCATGAGGAAGAGATGGAAGGCCAGAGTCAGCCACAGCACTTCCTGTGTGTGTGGCTGTAAGGTCTCCAGCCGTGTATATCTCACTGGGTTCCTCCTGAGGGTCATCAGCAGGCAGCTCATGGTGGCACAGGGTACAGATGCAGCTGGAAGGGAAGCGGTGATGCCAAGGCATCTCAGTGACAGTCTCTCCCTCCTCCTCAAATTCCAAAAGGCAGGCAGAAGCTTTGATCTCAGCAGGAATTGGCTTGTAATGCCAGCAACACACATGGCAGAAACCTGGAGACTTCTGAGAAAGACCAGCAAGGATACTCTCAGTCTGCACCACTTAAACTTGAACCTCAAACAGAGAACTCTCCTAAGGAGGGTTAATTCTGGCATGAAGTTACCACTAGAGGGTGGTATTGCGCACTGTCTTTTGGGTTATCATGTTATAGTTAGAGATTTAAAGTATTGTTCCCAGAAGTCCCAATTTAACTCAACTAGACCTATTTCTCTTGTGCACGAGTTTCATCCTCTCAGTAACTGTGAGGCAAGGCTCCTGGGCATGTTTCTTCAAGGCCTGGGCTATATCCCCACAAAAAAATAAATAAATAAATGAAAAAGGAAAAGAAAGAAAGAAATGAACAACTGTGCCCCTCTGAAACTTACCTAGTAGCGTTTGCAATCTCTACACTAAACCTCTAGGTCTGAGCCACTGTCCACAATATTTCCTGGGTCCATGCTCCCTCTAGTGGCCTCCTTCTCTTTTGCATCCTTGTTAAATTTCTTGGGGCCTCCTTCACCCTCCTGGTCTAGTAAGGAATGAATCTTCTACTCTTCTCTAGTTTTATCCTTAAAAGTACTTAAGCATATAAACACTTCATTTTTCCTTTTAATCCATCTTCAGCATGGACGCTAAGAGCTCAACGTTTCTCCCAGAAAAATCTCATCCTTTCTCCCAGCTCAATCAACAGAAACACCTTCTCTCTTTTCCTTTCTCTCTGACTTTTCTCACTACAGGACCAAGACTTGAGCCAGGCACTGTGGTGAGGGCCTGTAATCCTTAGCAGCCTGGGAGGCTGAAGCCAGAAGATCGGAAGGTCAAAGCCAGCTTCAGCAACAGTGAGGTGCTTAGCAACTCAGACCCTGTCTCTAAATAAAATACAAAATAGGTCTGGGGATGTGGTTCAGTGGTTAAACCCCCCTGAGTTTTCTCCCCGGCATCAAAAGAAAAAAAGGAAAAAGACCAAGACTTGTTTCTGACATGAACCCCAGGCTCCCTGAATAAGTCTGTTCTATAAGGACAGAGCATTCCAGGTACAGGACTTATTCATTGTTCTTTCAGGTTGGTAATCATTCCACTGAGGTTTTTTCCACTTTCTCCTACAATGACATTTCCTCTCTACAGGGGTCCTATTCCTTTATAACTGTGGTTAGTCCCACAGCGGGCCTCTGAAATCCCCAGCCCCAGTCAGAGCTTAATAAATGTACAACTCCAAGCCAACTGGAGATTATGTGGCAGGAAATAATTCCAGAAGCCTGTGATCAGATCATAAATTAAATCCCTCCATGATTCCTGCTGTGGCCCTGAGTGCAATCTCAAAGTGACAGGAAACTGGGACAGTCAACCTAGCATCACCTACTGAAGACTGCCACACATAATCTGAAGCCAAAATTTCACAGTCTGGTTGTCTATACTCCATGGAATTGGGGAAATTTCATTCCAGCCTCAGCTGCATTTACAAAGCAGCTGGTCAGAGTTACTTTCAGAGCTTTTGCCTATTAAAATCCACTATATAGAATCCCCTTTAAGCTTACCCTCAAGGCCCCAGGGAGCTCCACCTGCATGCCATCCCTCTGAGCCCAGTCAATGGAGAAGGGGACGAGAACAGGAACAGAAAAGGAGACCCAAGTGTCCATTTTATTAACGGCCAGACAAGTGCCACACCACCCAGAGCACTCTGACCTCGCTGGCAAAGCTGGACTGGAGACTGTCATTGAGACACAGCCCAAAAGGGACCACTTTGCCTTCCTTCTGCCTGAGCCACCAAACAGAGAAGGAATTAGCAGAGGAGAAAGAGGGGGGAAGGGAAGCTGTGTCCAAGCCTGTGCCCTTGTGAGAGAGGGCAGGAGAGAAAGGCAAGTTATTCAGGAACATTCCTGTTCATGCATTAACTCCACCCTTCTGTGAAACGTGGTCTAAAGTTCTGTCTCACCAGCTGTCATAGCATCCAACCCTACAGGAGGGAGCGGTCACCAGGAGAGGAGAACTTTTCATCTGGTATCGGTTTTC